GCTATACAGGAATCTACTTACATGAAATGTCTTAAATGATCTCCAGACTCCCACGGGAGAAACACGCACATTTGCGTGCACAAATTTAGAAAGATTAAAGTGCATTGATCTAAAATGTTCTAATGTGAAAGAAAGATTCACCTTTCTTGAGAGGTGTTGGGATGTAGTCTTGGCTAAACCTCTGTCAGCACCCCACCAACAGACATCTCACAGAAACACTTCTTTAGGTCATGATTTAAAAACCTACATAAAACCAAGGATCAGAATTTTTTTTTTAATTAAAAAGTGAGATTTCACTACACATTTTTAAAAATATAGTTAGCATAAAATGACACAATAAATAAACTGTCTCAACAATTTATTGTCCCAGCCAGATCTCCTGCCTCAGATCTTCTGGTATGACCCAACTGCGTACAGCAAAGCAAAAAAGCACATCTACACAACCATCTTGATCCCAAACTAGTGACTCTTTGAGTACTAGTTCACACTGCAAAGCAAGTCACAATAAACATAATTTTAAAAAAGAGCTTATATTTCAAATCATAACCTCTTTTCTTTACATATTTAAAAGTCTTCCATTTTTTTTCCTTCTCATTTTCTTTCTCATTCATTGGAAAAGTAGTCAAATGGGTCAAAGAAACTAAAAATACTGAAAGGCATACTTGCAAAACAAGAAGTCCATCACAACTGCCTTGGAAAGTTTTTTTAAAAACCCCAAACCTTAAACATGGCCAGGGGCTAGACAAACTCAATTGCTTGAAAAAAAAAATCCAAAACCTAATCAGGAAGTCTTTTTTTCCCTCCCCAGCAGTATGAATGCTGCTCTAGCCCACATTCTTCTCTTGCGCCCATAGGGTAAGGAGGCTACTCAGAAAACTGTCCATTGCTCACAGTGCTGCTTTGGCTAAGGCACATGTGGAGAACTCACAGGGGCTCAGACTGGGTGACAGGATCATGGAAATCTATCACCTGGAGCTGCCCTGACAGGAAGCCTTGCCCTCAAGCTGCCTGGGACATTGGACAGTATTTTCACAAGGGCAGGTAATGAACCCTTCCATGGGCTAAGAAAGAAGTGAAAGATGAGGAAAAAACGTCCGTCAACAAATAAAAGGCAGCAGAAAGTACACAGTCAGTTTTTGCTGTTCATTCACTTCCAGCTGCCCCAAAGTGGTTTCTCAGAATTGTCACTCTGGCTTCTTAGGGCCTAGAAGTTTTGTAGAAGTCAGGCTTCAGAGCCAGTTTTGAGATTAACTTTCAAGTCTGACTAATGACTGCTAAGACCAGAAAGTTCTGCTTATGAAATCAAAATAGGATAAACCAAAATATTTCATGCACTAGAACCATAGTCATAGCTCGCTTTTCCCACAGACAATATTTTTATGCGTCTTCAACACATTTACACTAAGTACTTTTCATTTCCATTTGCTGACTAGAAAGTGCAAAATTCTCCTTTGTCAAATATAACATAACCAGTCAGTAGCTAATTCACCACAGATTCAGTTTTGCTCCTGGTAAAATCCAAGTCCTAGGGATACTTATGGCAGCAGGATTAAAATAAGCCCTAGAGTAGTGTTTTACCACCCAATTCCTGAAGGTAGTTCCTTGGGTGTTTAATTGTACACACATGGACAATGAAATCTCACCGACTCCTGTAAGACTCTTTAACATGTGAAAAGTTCATTATTTTCAGCATCAGGACCAGCATCACATAGACAATTCAATAACTGCATTTGTATTGTTTAAATAACTATCTGGATGTTGCAGATGCCTGGAGAAGAAAGTGGGGCAAAAAGTCTGTTACCATCCACAGTCACCTCTCCTTCCCTAAATACTGGTTCTAAAATGTATTTACAGCTGTTGACTTTCCCTGTGTATCACTCCTATCATAAAAAATATGTCTTCAAAACATCCTCTTCCTTAATTTTTAATCCTACCAAAGCAAAAATAGATATTTTAATAGAAAAATACAAGATAAAAAATATCCTAAAAATAAAATGGTAGCATGGAATGTCATTTTTACACAAAAAAAAAGATCCCCTTTTGAATTGCATCAGCTATACAAACACTTTCATATTTACAGTTTTGGATGCAGTCCTGTGCTCACTGAAGTTAATGGGAGTTTGCCATTGACTTCACTGGGAACAGGAGCAGGCTTGACATGGACTATACTTGCCTCTCTGAAAAGTCATGGCAGTGAAGAGAGAAGAGAGCGATAAAGCAGTCCTCTCTGGAGGTCTGATTGTCTTCTCTCTATTTCACACCAGTGAAACTCCTACTCCTTCACTGGACTTTTTCTTAACTCCCAGTACATTAGAGGGAGAACAGTGCTTTTGATTGTGATACCACACAAACAAGGAAAGAACGGTTTGTGCATGTTTCCCCCTGCCTGACTTTCTCAGTGGAGCTAATTACACCCAAGCGCCAGTTCCCTCCCAGAACTATACTCTGTACACCAAATCTTATATCCCCTGTAATCAATGGCAGTGATTCAGTGATGCAGGATCATACCCCAAATGAATCCTTTTTTTTCCTTTTGACAGCAACCAGCACCTGTGCCTGTGAAACCATATTTGATACCCATGGATGAGACCCAATTATGGAAGGAGGTGATAGATGCTAAAAACAAAAAAAAGGAACAGAATGAGGCATCCCCCATCAACTAAACCTAGGTCTGCTACCCTTAATGCATGCCTTAAGAAATACTGTCTATACATATTAAGTACACCCTACAACATCAAACTGCATCATTTTCTTTTTTCATGAGATGAAAGGCCATGCGGCATAATGTGATTAGTAAATCATTCCTGAGCTTCTGAAAGAAATTAAGACAAAATTACTGCTTAAAAGAGTGAGTTCTTCAAGAGCCTCTTTTTTTTACACTGATGTCTTTGGTTGTGTCCTTTTCCCTAATTCTTTTTTTTCCCTAGGAAGAAAGGGATTCTTTCTTTTTCTTCTTCTTCTTCTTCTTTATGCAGCAGAAAAATGAGATCTAATGGAGTCTTCACGTAACTGCCGATGTTTCCCCATGTTACAGTCCTCCTGTCGAGTTCGTCTCTCAATAGTTATTCTGTATTTCTTTCTGCATGAAAGGAGAGGAATAGAGTGAGAAATTCTTCTCCAGCTATAGGCTAACAGACTTCCCTTATAAAGAATGCCTGTAGGGGACAGCTGGGTGACAGAAGAAAAATGAAATGTGGCAGAATGTGAAACCCTGGTCAAAGATTAAAGTAGCTTGCCTCAAAACATTTTACCCAGGCTCAAGAATGCCTGTTAATTTTTACATGGCAGTCTCAAAGCACCAAGACACAGACATTGTTTCTTTGAAAATTTCTGATCTAAGTGATTAGGAGTTTTTTGTGAAGTGTCATGTGAACTCTGTCATATCACTGCTTTATATTGATCAAAGCCAAATTTTTTTTCAGTATATGGGGGGGGGGGCACTTTCTGGAGAGTTCAAACAGATCTCACTATTTGGTTGAGTTTCTCACTGAAACTAACTAATCTCATTTCTCTCTGAGAAACCTACTATGTTTGCAATGTCAGACGATGCAGTACTATGAATTAAGAAGAGTGTTGTAGAGGACAGATAAGAAATAAACATAAATGCTCATGCATAAGACACAGTTCTTCCTGTGTGTCTTCCTCTAGGGCCTTTTGAAGAATTCTGCTATGTTTATACATCAAATAAGCCCTCTGACTGCCTTTCAGTTTCCCCTTTAGTACCCAAATCTCCCCCCAAAATCCTGAGACATATGTTTTATACATTTATGCTTCTACTCAGTTTCAGGACAAATTTTTCAGAAGGGCGTTAGTCCATCCCTCTGTGCTTGTTCTGCTTGTGAAGGTGCATGACAAAATCTTGTATGCCAAGGAAAGCTCTGCTCCACTTGCTTATGTAGCAGGAGTCAGAGATGGATATGTAGCAGTGGAAGAACGATTTTCAAAACACCAAAGTTTTAATTTGGGTAACATGGCTGAATGGAAAGTAGGAACCTAAAAGTTCTGAAAATATTCCCTAGATATCTGATTCTGTATCAGGAGGCTCCAAAATAACTTAAAAAACCTATGTAGTTTACGTCTTTTATGTATTTTCAAGTCAGATCCTTCTACAGGTCAGAGCATGCATAGCAGTAGTTCTTGCAAAAGGACAGGTCCACATTTTAGATACAGAGATCTCTGAGTTTAAATCCTGTCAAAGCTACGTATCAGAACTACTACCCAGATCTTTTAATTGTTTGCATGCACACTCAAAACTGTGTTTGCATACTTGTTTGTAACAATTACAGATCCAAACTACATGTAAACAGAAGGTAGATAGCCATTTTAAAAGGTACAGAAGCTGCAGGTACCAATTACTTCCAGGCACACAATTGCTAAACCTATATTTTACAAAAATCTGACCCATGAATTCTGAGACGTTACGTTTCAGATATTTTTTCCAATGGTGGAATAAGAAGGTTGTCCCTATTCCTGCTTTGAGTGTAATTGGATCTCCACGGTGAAATTCATCCACGTGTAGATCCATCTAACAGTCACCCATGGCTTCCTCCAGTTAACAGAGAGAAACAGGCACCTCTAAGAGGCATTCTTCTGACCTGGTTTAGCTTTTGCATGACAATGACACAGACCGAGAAAAAGTGTTCACATTTCTCCTCTCTGATCAAACATGAAAAGACTGGGTATTGAGCTTAGGTGTATGCATCTACTTTTACAGACACCAACCTTCGCTCAGACGGATTTCCAATCCAAATCTTTCTCTCAGATGATGAAGAGTTTAAGTCCTGCTCTTACAATGATACTTCATGTAGATTTATACCAACTCAGGATATCTATTGCTTCATTTCTTGTCCTTACACACCAATTCCCTCCCAGTATCAGCAATGCTAAAAACTACACCTAACAATTGCCATCTCAAACTGAGAGAGATGCAAGAACCCCCGATGAGATAAAATATAAAGACAGACTTGTATTTTCTTTTTCTTTTACAGATAGCTTTTAATCCATCCAAACTAACATAATATTGTCTCAAACCCAAACAACATTTTATATAAGCACTGAACACATGCAAGAATAAAATCACCCTGAAGAATTTCAGTTGTAAGCACCTGAAGAACAACCCTAGTTCTGGGACCTTTGAAACCCTCCAAGTGTGCTGGCAAATTGAAACAGGTTTTGCTTGTTTTATTTTAGCTTTTTTTAATAAACAGAAACTTTCATTGGATAGAATTATTTGATTCTTATATGCAGAGGTTAATTCTATTCTCCTATCTGTCTTTTCTCTTCCATAGCACAAGGACAAATTATGGTATATATAAGGTGTCAAAGATTTATAACTAATTATTCTGTCAGTGTAGGATCAACTATCAAGAGTTTACATCTGCCGACTAGCAGTGTAAGAATTATTTTACTTAAAGAGGAATAAAACACTGATCACCCTGCACTGACATTAGCTTGTGAAGTTAAATGCACAGCTTTGGAATCCAAATGCTCTCTTACACCAAAACAGAAATCCCTTTTTGCTTTCCAGCACAATTCCACTCAATATGCGAAAACTAAGCATGGTACCAGGCAAGCGATATAAATCTCTTACATGATAACAGCCTACACAACTGTGCTGGCAAGGAATACGAAACAAAGAAGGCTTTCAAGGCCAGGACCTTCTACTAAAGCAACTGAATGTCTGGAACTCACTGGAATTACTTCCATGAGTAGCATTACTCAGTGATATAAGTAGTTACAGGATGAAGCCCCAGGACAATAAAATTATTTGGATATACACAAAAGGACAATTGAAGTGTGTTCACTGTCTTTGGTGAGAATGTTACCACATATTATTATTGTGCCTCTCTGTCTTCCATCAGGGATGTTCTGCCAGGAGCTGAGAGGCCTGGATGACAAATAAGAAGTTTACAGAACTTTCAATTGGACTAACCTGAAAAAGTAAAAAGCCATTAGCAATCCTGCTCCAAGTAAGGCGCCCACAACTATTCCTGTAACTGCTGATTCTCCTAGACCACCTGCTTGAAAAGGGGAAAAATAAACAATCAGGGTTCATATTGAGAACTATTTGCATTCACATATTGGAAAATACACATGACTAGGAAATTAGTGACCAACATCAGGTAATAACTAAAGCCTTTCAGAGCTCAGGACTCCGTGTGAACCCGTTCCAGTGTCTGCATGTTTACTTTCTGTCCTTACTTTCCTTGGGTTTACACAAGCTCCCAAAATCAGTGTCAGGTGAAGACACAGTTCTGGAGATGGCACACGTGGGAATGTTGTTAGGAAACTGGTCTGGACAGCGTGGCCTGAATTGTAACACAGACTGGGGTTACAGCGACGCACATAACAGGAATCAGCACTGAATATGCCCTGAGTTATTGTAACAGAAACAAACTCATTTCACCTGGTTTAGCATCATAACCCTCCATCACCCAGGTCTATTAAAACAACTGTATGATTATCCAACAGTTCCTCAATTTATTAATTTTTTTTTCTGAAGATGTGCTGTTTCAAGTTAAAGCCATACGAGTTCTGCCTTGCTTCAAATCTTACAGGAGGCAGAGCAGGGACACAGTGGCTGAAGGGGAGCCCAAGTAGGGAGTGTCACTATGAAGAGCCAGGCAGCTGAAGAACAATGACATTTTCATGTGTGTGTAGTGCCCAGCTGGGTTTGTGGAATGAAACAGAAATATTAAGGAAATTAAAATGTTCCCTTCTCTTCATTTTAATTTGACCCTCTGAGGCGATTTTGTCAGTATGTCTGAAGAAAGAAGGTGCTACACCAAACTGGCCATAGAAGGTATGGCCTGGAAACAGTCTATATTATGTGTGTGCACACAGGTTTTTCAGGGACTGAAGAATTATCAGGCTGGAGGTATCTTTTCACTGCAACACTCGCAATTTGTTTCCTGCTTTTGACACCAAGACACCACTACCCTCCTACCCTGATCTTCTTGCAGATTCCTCCTCACTGCAACATGGTCTCAAAGTCAAATTTCTGGAAAACAAGGACACTTGTTCTGTGGAGGGTAGCCCTGGTCTTCTGAATTCACAGATTTCACCCCATTCCACTGACTTCACTTCTTTCCAGCCTACTGGACCTCTTGCAGTGCCTTCTCATAGTGCTGAAAATCATTCTGCAGTGGGAGAACACTGGTTCCATCAGCAGCACAGCTGCTAATTATCAATATGATTATTCTCTGCTTGGGGTTTCAATTATATTCTTCTTTCTGGCTAAAAGGCCCCTGAAAAGTCCTAAAGCCTCCAGGGCTTTAGGCTGTGCATCATGATTACTGTCATGTGTGAATTCAGGGAAGTGATTCAGACCAAGTAGTACCCACGCTGCCAGACCTTAACTTCCCTAGAAGTCAGCAGGGACAGACAGTCACCATGTCTCAGCCAGACAATTGTGCCAAGCAATTTAATATGGCCCGTTATATTGCATCAATGCATAGATTCTACTTGCTGGAGCTGGGGCAGAAACATTAAGTCACTAAACTTACATGATTTACACGGTGTATTGTTTGTGTGCTCTGAAACTCGACTTTCATCGAGTCGCAGCCTGCCATGATTCCAAGGATATTGCACATTCGATCGAATTTCAAAACGCCCCTGCTTTCCATAGTAGTCCCCAATTACCTATGAAAACAAGAAAGGAATAAAAAGATTTTCCTATCAACTTAGAAGTAAAAAAAACCAAACAGGAGAGCAGCATCACTCACTTGGACTCCTACCGCATGACACTGAACCTCAGAGAAGAGGACTGAAGGGGTCTGTGGGAGGTTATGCAGTGCATGCTCTGCCCCAGGGCAGGATTATCTGAATAAAAGCATTCCTGACAAATGTTTATTTAATCTGTTCTTAAAAGCCTTCAAAGACAGAGACTAGACAATTTCTGTAAGCAATTATTCTGGACCTAAGCTAGTCTTATTACTGTCAGTGGTTTTCCCTAGCACGTAACCTAAAATTCCCTTGTTGTAACTATCCATTACTACTTACTGACTTGCCAGTGGACACAGAGACTCTTCCTTTCTGAAACATTTCTTTAGATATTCACTGGCTCTTATCTGGTCTGCCCTGAGGCTTCTCTTTTATATAAATCCAGTTTACACAATCTTTCTTAACCTTCTGAATATGCCTCCTGCTCTCCCTGGGCTTTCTTCAATTGCTCCATAGTGGGCTGAGTGCTCAGGACTGTCACACAGCTAAGTGAAAGCATCAGTAGCTAGACATGGGTCCAGACTGGGAGAATTACTCATTAAGAGCAGTCCTGCAGAAAAGAACTTGGGGAGGGTTCTTGTGGATGAAAAGGTGGACATGAGCCAAGAATTTGCACTTGCAGCCCAGAACACCAACTGCATCCTGGGCTGAACCTGGAGAAGCGTGACCAGCAGGTCAAGGGAGGGGATTCTGCCCATCTACTCTGCTCTTGTGAGACACCACTTGGAGCACTGCATTCACCTCTGGGACTCCTAGCACAGGAAAGGTGTGCACTTAAAAGACTAAATCTGGAGAAGGTCATGAAGACAATCAGGGAGCTGGAGCACCTCTCCTGTGATGATAGGCTGAAAGAGCTGGGGTTGTTCAGCCCGGAGACGTGACGGCTCTGCCGAGACCTTACTGTAGCCTTCCAGTACTTACTGAAAGGCTTATAAAATAGAGTGAGAGTGACTTCATCACAGGCAGATAGTGACAGGACAACTGGGAACAGTTTTAAGCTAAAAAAGGAGTGATTCAGAATAGGTATTAGGAAGAAATTCTTTACTGTGAGGGTGGTGAGGCACTGCAACAGGTTGCCTGGAGAAGCAGTGGATGCTCCATTGCTGGAAGTGTTCAAGGCTAGGGTGGAGGGGGCCCTGAGCAACCTGATCAAGTGAACGGCATGCCTGTCCATGGCAAGGGGGTTGGAACTAGAAAATCTTTCAGGCCCCTTCCAACCCAAGCCATTCTCTGATTCCATGGTTCTATGATTTCAAACACTTTGAGTGCTGAGACTCTCAACTACATACTCCAGGCTGGAGTTTTCTCTTTTGTCAAAATTTAGAGACACTTGATCATGTTTAGTTAAAATCTTCCAATCTTCTGAAGAACTATGACAAAGCCTCTCATTCCCTACTTTTTATTTCTGCAGTTATTGGTATTTACACAGAAAGGACATTTCATGCCTATTATTCTGAGAGTATGGACTACTATTTCAGACCAATTCTTTGACACTTCAGAATTTCAGTCCTGTCTTCAACATCTAAACTGAGGCTTTATTCAAGATAATATATGTTGAATCTACTGCAAAACTGTGGGACTAAATTGTGTTAACAGCAGTAGGTCCCTCATCTGAAAATAGTTCTATAAATATCTATGTACTGTAAGCAAGGACAGATATTGTGAAGTAGTCAGAAGCAATGGCAGAAGCACATCAAAAGACATATTTGTCCTACCATGGATAAAAGCCAGATCTTAATGCACTGGTTTAGAATTCAAGGTACTGCTAGCCTGTTCAAATATTTCACCTAAATTTCATTTTGAAGCTAAAGAGTTGAAAGAATATACGCCTGGTTGGATATACAAAGATATATTTTACACAAAATAAAGATACTAACTCCTCTCCCAGTTGCAAATAGGATATAAATCCTTTGAAGAAAGTTTTTTTAACATTTGTTCAAAAATAAAGGCAAATGCAGTAAACAGGAAAAAGCAGAGGGGGAAAAAACCTTAGAGATCATTCACAGGTAGCGGATTATTTATTAGGAGATTTGTCTAATTTATCAAACAGGAGTAGGAGAGTCCTCTACCAGCAGGACTTACCAAACATGAAAGTATGCAGAAAGGCTTAAGAACAAAAAGCTATAAGCAGCAACCAAGTGGATTCAGATCAGAAGCAGGATACACATTTTTAAAGAGGAGGAGTGGTTAAACAGTGGAACAGACACTGAAAAAACAAGCAAAGCAGTCCATGTTCTTTCAGTTTCTCTAAACAAAAACAAATGCCTGTTACACTGTGAGTTTTAGTCACATGTACACTACAGGGCTCCCTACAAGGCTACGAAACCTGCCTGTCTGCAATAGAGCAGAGGTCAAACTAGGTAATCTGGTGTTTTCTTCTAGCTTTAAGCTCTGTGAGTAGACCTGGGAAAACAGCTCAGCCCAAACAGCCATTCCTCTGGCGCAGTTCAACTGAGAAACACTCTTGTACAAAAATGGAAAAAATTGTCCAAATGTGTAAAATAAGTTATCAAAGAAACAACATTTTTAGAGTGAGGCATGAGGGCAGAAATGATGTAGCAGACATAAGCAGTAAGTAATTACGTGTAAAATGTTAACTGTGCACCTGATATTATGCATTATTATGCACCTATTAAAGCATAGGGAAATTGAACAATAAATTAAAAGGAGAAATGTTTAAAAAGGGAGAAATGCCTTAAAAGATACTTTAAATTGCAAGTGAAAGAGCAATGGAAAAAAAGGTAGGAGAAGGAGATTAAATTGATAAATGAGATAAAAAGCTAATGGACTAAACAAACAGAAGAAACACAGTTGTTCAAACCAAAGTTATCCCAACCAATTTGTACCCCTACTTCCATTGGAGCATCTGCAGTCTGCTGCTGTGGGTTTTCAGTCACTTTTACACACTAAAACACACTAGACATCCTCACACTTTAAAAACGGCTCCCTGAATTTCTCTCTCCTGCAGCACTGACATCAACAATATAACTTTACTGGACTAAAATCCACGTGTAGAAATGTCCAACTCAGATTAAATGGTGCTTAATGTTTGAGCTTGATGAAATAGGGGAGGCCAGAAAAGCTTAGGTTGATGCTGACTCTGCAACTAACAAAAGCCTTATGCTGCAGCTGGAGTTAGGGCAATGCATGTAGTAACAAGCAAAGCCTAGACATGCTTTTCTCTGTGTGCAGCTGGTGCTATTTCTCACAGACTTTTTCACATCTTTCCATCTCTTTCACTAATTCTGTGTTCAGTCAAATAATCTGTGTGGTGTATACGGAGCAATCTGATTAAATGTCTCTTAAACAGGGAAAACAAGGCACTCAAGTCTTACTGCCTGATCAAAAGGTCAGGCAAGGTCTGCATTCCTACTTGTGGTTGACCACAGTGTAAGATTAAAATACCTAAACTTGATGTGTTAATACATTAGGGTAACTTGTGCACCACTGTTGCTATAAGATTAATCTTTCTCCCTACCAATGAATAAAAGGCCTTGTTCATTTTAATAATTTCCCATATTCAAAATTTATCAGAGCTTAGCTAGCTTGTGAGAATTCACCTTTTAATTAAAGGCTGACATCATATGAAGAAAGATGCACTACTAAAAAGGAAAGTTTAAAAAACGTAGGATAACTACTTCTGGACAGTTTTTTCACAGAATGGATTTGGTCTTAAATTGATACGATTAAGCCACCACATAAAGATATGATAACATGTTTCATTACACTGGCCAATTGCAATGGTGTTTGTTTCCTTACCTCCTGTGTGCCTGCCTCTGGGTCTGTCATCCCAATCACAGAGAAATCCCCGTATCTGTCTCCATTGGCATCAATGGACACCTGCCCTGCAATGCCTAAAGAATGGCATGTGAAGAACCAGAAAATTAATTAGTTAAAATATTGAGCCTTTCCAAGGAAAACAAGAAAACAGTGGACAGGTTTTTACAGACCGATATGACAGGAAATCTCATCAGCCTCCCAGCATTTTTGTTGGCATTCCAAAAGAAATTGTAATTTCATCTTGGTGTCTGCATTCCTGAATTCTTAGCATTTCTCCTTTTTAAATATCAAGTGTGTGAGACTGTTTGGAGAATATGTGAGAAAAATCTAATCCAAAAGCCAGCATGTAAGAACAAAACACAAATACATTTAATGTGAATTTTTTACAGACCGTATGCACTACTTATCAATTAAGCCCTTCATCCATTTATTTAAGATGAACTACATAATACGGTGCTGTCTGATATATATATATTCTTAGATCCTCAGTTCACTTCCTTGCTTTACACCTTCCAGGAAACATTAGAAAAACTGGGAATCGTAGACTCAGAAGGTATCTCAAGTTTGAAAGGGCTTCTGGACATCTTGTGCCCAACCTCCTACTCAGAGCAGGATCAGCCAACAGAATAGGACAATGCTCAGCGTTTTATCTGGTCTCCAAAACCCTCAAGGATGGCAACTGCACAACCTCACTAAGGCAACTTGTTTCAACTGTCACAAGGAATAAACATATCCTTGGATTCAGTCTGAATCTCTTCTTCCAATGTGTGTCCTTATATATAAAGAGCATGGCTCTCAGTTCTTGTGGTTTAAGTCAAAGAGGTTCTTAAAATCCATCAAACAACAACAATTAAGTATGATGATGACATTGTAAGACTGCTGATAGGATTTATCACCTTGGATATTCTCAAATGCATCCTCCCACTGCCTGACACCAAACACAGCCATTTATACCCACGCAAGGCAAACAGGCACCATGTACATCCATGTTACACCAGCTACAACTAGACCAGGCATAAAGCTGTGGAGATTCAGGTTCTGAGTGACGGTAAATCAAAGGAGAGAGGTCACGTATTCAGAAAGTATAAATTCCTCTCAACATGCCTAGTGACAGCGAACATGGAACAGATTAACACGCCTCCACTTCTCCTGTCTCTTTTCCAGTTTAATGGTGTCAGGAATGTTTCAACTTGCTGTGATTTTCAAGAGATGTAGTGGTAATCAAAGATTATTGTCAAGCATCTGTTTCATTATAACAACACAGTAATCAAACAATTGTCAATCCAATTACTGCAGGAAAATAGAATGGGTTTCACAACCACTTGGCTGTGAGAACACTGGAAGAAGAGGCCGCTAGAGGCCGCTACAAAGAACTGTGATGTCCTTCTCTACACAGCAATTTGGATTCTGGATCTAACAGGACGTATTAAATGGAACAGACACCTTTCTGGCCTAAGAAAACCAAAACTTGACTTTTGGAAATAGGTACTAAAATGAATGTCAATGGATGGAAAATATTCTTCATAAAACGTGCCCCACACTCATACCAGGGTGTCTCTAACAACACAAGCAAAAATCTTCTGATCACCTCAGCTTTATCCCTTCCTAAGCACACAACGCTTGCAGTTGTGTCTGGGCAGACTGAATGCTGCGGGAAACAGCATCTATATCCCACTGGAGTTCTGATGAGTCAGAGCAGACTGTAAAATGAGGTGCCAAGGCAATTAGATATCTAGATGTCTGCAGTTAAAATTAATGTAATTAATGAAACTGGAGCTCCCATCAACAAGGCCTGCAAAACTTTAAGGAAATTATAAAGCTTCAGTCCTGCAGCACAGCCTAATGGGTGTAAGCATGAACCATACTCTGCAAATGCCGCATCCACTGCAGACAGAGGCTTACAGGCAGAATAAAAGCATGTGATTTTCCTAAAACAACTGGATTGCAAGACATCAAGTTAAAGGCCTCTTTCAAAATCAGTTTGATCCTTGTAAATTATGTCCAGAAAAGTATTACCACAGGGAGGAAATGGCATAAGACTTACACGACATTTTGATCTTTTCTACTGCACCCTCATAGCCCAACTTGACAGCTACATTTTTAGACTAGGTGTAAACATGTCAGCCAGCAAC